CGGCGCTAACTTCGACATAAACGCCTAGTGTAGACCAGGCCTAAGAATAATTCTAATTTGAAAAATCATACATCTGTCTTTGAGTAAATGAAAGGAAAGAAAGTAAGAATGAGAGAGGTAAGAAATATATTTATGTAAACCACATCTAGTTCATCAGCTGCATATGGTGGGGACCTTATTATGTATCTTTTGGTATAGTTCCAATGTGCTATGTATTTACAAATAGATTAAAATCTCAACATCAGATAGGAAAGGTTCCCCTACACATTCAGATTTGTCTTCCTTTGTAATATTTCTATGATGGGAACTGAGAAGCTCTACTAATGGATTATTTTATTAATTTTCCCAATTAATTTAGCTATATGCCTGGCCTCTTCTAGAAACATTGTTCTCTGAGGTTCTAACAAGAGAAGAATGGCTGAAAGTGTTTGATAATATCTTTTCCAACCATCCTTCATACTTTCTCATGATGGTTGCTGCCTATATCATATGTTCCAGAGCTCCTTTGCTTCACTGTAATCAAACAGAGGACTTTGAGGTAAACACCTTACTATATAAGTCAGAGCCTTGCTACCTATATTAGGTAGGTTCAGAAAAGTTTCGTGTATAATATTTATTTTTAGAGAGCTTAAAAAGAAAAGTTACAGTTGAATGTTAGTTATACTGTGCCTGTTTGAGCAATGTCCTCTAGTATCTGATATATTCACTGTGAAATGAATAAAATATTAATCAATTTACTGCACTTGGTTGTATGGGCAGAGAGGAGTATAAAGAAACTTAAGACCTTGCAGAAATTCTTTTGTTGCCAAGGAAAATGTTTTTTAAATATGGAGAATTCATTACCCATTAAACTACTCTTTGTTTTCTGGTTCTCTTTCTGGACTCAGGATTGACATCTGTATGTTAGGACAATATAAAGTGGTTCTGGCATTTTGATGTTTCATTATTTTGCTTTCTAAAATGCAAGCACAGTGAGGCAGTCTTGGTTGATTTCCCCTCAACTTAAATGAAAATATTTCATTGTACTTCTGAAGTTATGGAGAGCATTGGGGAAAGAAAAGTATTCTTTATATGGAAAAATCTCCATTTGCAAATATTAGGGCCTAATTTTGCAGACGCACATGTGAGTAATCGATTACTCATCTGGGTAAAATTATTCTCATGTGTATTGCAGAATTGAGGCCATAACTCATGAGCAGAGTTGAAAGCACTTCTAATCCTTCTCTCACTCAGTATGGCAAAAAGATATATACATACGGGAGAGAGGGCAGACTAACATTCCTAGCATTTGGAGTAAAGGGAGTGAAGCAGAGGTAGTTCTTTCAGGATTTAGTGGTTTGGGTTAAGTCAATTGAGCCTTTATTTATGTATGTATATATGTATGTATGTATGTATTATATTGACTAGTGGTGCCAGGATGACATTTTCTTTTAATCAGCTTTTAGCATACAGAATTAACTAATACGTTTACATACCTATTGGGAAAGCATAGTAACTTGTTCAACTTTTTGTAGGATTTAAAATGAAAACTTTTTCTTACAGTATTTCTTCCATCATCGGAACAATCTGGATATTAATGTTGTGATTAAAGAAGCCTATCATCTTATGGAAGCTACCCCAGCAGACATCCATCCACAACGTATGCTTGATGACTTCATACCACTCACAAAGGGCCAGTACCCAGTATTTAATAAATACCCCAGGTTTATTGTGGATTATCAGACTCAGGAGCGAGAGAGGATCAGACAGGATGAAATAGAATATTTACGAGAAAGGTATTCATGGGAAAATAGAAGGAAACCTTAAAATTGGGAGAGGGGGTAGATATCTATTGGATTTACTGGAAAATAGAGCGATGAGGGTTACCAACTTTCTAATCGCACAAAACGGAACACCTTTGCCCTGCCCCGAGGCCCCACCCCTTCTCTGAGGCCCCCACCCCTCGCTGACTCCATCTCCCTTCCCTCTGTCGCTTGCTCTCTCCCACCCTCACTCACTCATTTTCACGGGGTTGGGGCCGGGGTTGGGATGCAGGTTGGGGTAAGGGCTCTGGGATGGGGCCAGAAATGAGGGGTTGCGTGGGCGAGTGAAGGCTCTGGCTGGCGGGGGTGGGCTCTGGGGTTGGGCTGGGGATGAGGGGTTTGCAGTGCAGGAGGGGGCTCAGGGCTGGGGCATGGGGTTGGGCTGTGGGAGGGGGTGTGGGCTCTGGGAGGGAGTTTGGGTGTGGGACAGGGCTCAGGGCTGGGGCAGAGGGTTGGGGTGAGGGAGGGGGTGAGGGATGCAGGATCCAGGTAGCGCTTACCTCAGGTGGCTCCCAGGAAGCAGCTGGCATGTCCCTCTGGCTCCTTGGAGGTGGGGCACATGGCTCTGCATGCTGCCCTCTCCCGCAGGCACTGCCTCTGGAGCTCCCAGTGGCTGCAGTTCCCAGAGCAGAAGCAACGCACGGAGGCCCCGTGGCCGCCTAGGAGCCGGGGAGACATGCCGGCCGGTTCCCGGTAGCCGCGCAGAGCTGGGCATGGAGCCTGCCAGCCGCATGCAAACCAAACTTTTAATGGCCCAGTCATCACTGGGCAATTTGAGCACAGACATAAATTTTATAATAATCTTAATTAATATTTTTCCAATATATGACCAGCAGTTTTTACTACCTGAATAATTTCTTGAAATCTATTTTGGTTTCTATGGTAATATATACAAATATTTTATGCAGACAATTAGTTCATGAAATAGAAGCTAAAGCAGTACAGCGAAAAGTAGAAGATGAGGCCTGGTATCGGAAGCAAGAGCTGCTTCGTGAGGCTGAAGAACAGAGGAGAAAAATTCTGCTGCAAGAAGAGGAAAAACTGGCAGATCAAAGACAGAGGTATTAGTAGTAGTATGAAGCATGGCTGCAGCACCCTGCTATTAAATCTTTTATCACAAGTAGGGACAGAGGTGGCCACTATTTTGTTCAAATTGTAATATGCAGAAGCAGTGCGGTCTAGTGGGTAGGGCATTGGACTGGGAATCAGGCAATCAGGATTCTGTTCCTGGCGCTGCCTTTGACCTGCTGTGTGATGTTGGGCAAGTCACATGTCTCCAGTCCCACTTTTTCTCTTCCCAAACAACTTACGTACTTGCCTCTTTAGTCTATCTTTCACTATGTGTTTGTGCAGTGGAGCTTCAATTTCAGTTGTTGCCTTTAGCTGCTACTGTGATAGACGTTATTTATATTAATGAGGGTGCATATTCTCAAATTTCTATTGGCGATAAGAGTTTTTCTTATAAATTAGGACTTGGTAGGTAATTAAAATGTAGAAAGAGTCTATAAACTTTGGGATTATAAACTGTGAGAGAAATTCAAGATCCCCATGAGGGTTTTTTGGTAAAGGGGGATATTTTTTAGACGCATAAAACATACACAATTTTTTTTTTTTAATTGAGAGTTGCGGACTAAAGGGGTTAAGTGACTTTCCTTATCTACTAATGAATGAGGAGTACAATTCTGGTCAGGAGGTGGAGTAATATTATTGTGAAATTTTCTCAACAAACTAAAGTGCCCCCCCCCTTTTTTTTTATTTAATTGACACCAATAGTTATAGAATTGATGAGACTTTCGTGGGAAATGGGGAGAGTGTGCCACTCTTTGGATTTCAATCTGTCTTATAACAGTGCAGTTTTCATTTCCAAAACAAAACTATTATGTCAAGAGCGTTAGCAGTTAAAGAGAGTAGTTCATGACAGGTAACGGTTAAGTATTATGGAACATCACACTCTTCAGTGTCAGCCTTCCACCAGTAAAGGTTTATTTATTCCTATGTCATTTTTGCTTTGAAGACTAACAGCTGTGAAAAGAGAGTTGAAAGTAAAGGAGCTGCAGTTATTGGATGCTGCAAGAAGGCGTTTCCTGAAACATCAGCAGGATCAGCGTCAAATGGAGCTAAAACGTCTGGATGATGAAATTGCAAGAAAGGTTTGTTTTCCTCATCTAAGCAATATTTCCTCCAATGTTTATTAAGAGAAGTAAATAAGAAAAAATTAATAACTTATGATAAGTAATGAAACCAATTGTAGCATGTTTTGTGAAACAAGATGTATTTAACCAAAGTTGGGCAGGTGTCTGATTCATTCATATTTGTATAGTTTAATTTGGCACCTGCTGCTGTCCACACAGTTTACTAAAATTAGCAAAATTTCCTGGGAAAAGCCAGATTGATCCAAATGTTGGCATTGCTGAAAAACGAAGTGAGATGGTGGTAAAGAAAAAACAACTTTTCCATTTTGGGGTTTTTATGTGTATATTTGTTTCCTCTAGGTGTCCATGAGAGAGCGAGAAACAGCTGCTACTGTTCAAGATGTAGAAGTGCGGCAAATGGAACTTGAATCCCAAAGACAGCTTTTTGAACAGGTATATGGCAATGAACTATATACAATCTCTTGTTTTTTTCTATTTATTTTTGTTAAATTTTAAAATATGTATACAGAAAAAACAAATTATACATAAACTTCTCAAATGTATTAACCATTTGCTACCTAACCTTAGCTGTACTTGAAATACTGAATTATAGATTATATGAATGCTTAAAATATAAATGAAGTATTTGTATTACATAACTTACAAACAAACAACATTTGTTTATAAAAATCCAACTAGTTCAAGTATTGAAACAAGATAAAGAATAGAAGCAAAGTTCAGAGGAGGAGTATAGAGACTGGGGGGGAAGGAAGTGGATAGAGAGGAAGGAGAGGCAAGTGGTGGGCCTCATGCATTTAACGAGATCATTCAGATACTTCCAGGAAATCATCCCATGTTTCTGAGAATTTTTCTTGGGTATTTGTTACCATATACAATTCTTTCCTTCGTAGCCAAGTTTACGATGTCTATGCTCCAGTCTTCAAATGCTGGTCGTTTTTTGGATTTCCATTTTTGTAATACTAATCTTTAGGTAATTGTAAGTGCTCTGCTGAACCAAAGTTTTTTTCAGATGTATTCAGCTTCCAATCAACATACATTAGGTTTAGTTTGTAATACAATTTTATTTGATAGGAAAAAATTAACTGCAATTCAGTTCTTCCCAAAACATACAGGTATAGGAGCATTCTTAGAGCATATGGGTTAAGTGTGCACCTGCTGAATCACAGTGCAACATTTTTTTCACTTATCGCTGCCTGTTTTGAATAGTTGGAGTGGGATCCAATGCATCCTCCATGTGATTTTTCTGCTAGATTAATCTTAAATGGAGGTCCAAGGAACAGTTCAGAGCACTGACTAAAATTTGTTTTCATTGGTTAGGAGAGAATAATTGGCCTAGTTCCTTCTCCCATTTCTTTTTTAGGGAATCTGTGTTTAATTCAAATTTGCAGACCAAGTGTGCATATGATGTTACCATAGGTCTTGGCAATCTGGGTAATATCTGGAGAAATGAAAGCAGTTCAGGTGGGTCATGGGTGGCGCAGGCATCGGGGCCAAACAGATCAGAAATGGCATGTTTAAGTTGGATATATTGTCCCTCCTTCTTAGTCTCTAGATTGAACCTTTCTTTTGATATTGTAAAAGGGAGGAAGGTATCATTTGCATTAAATTGACTGATGGTCAGAATCCCTTTCCTAATCCAGTCTGGCCAAATGATGGGGTTGCGTGCTATACAGATTTTTGTGTTACCCCAGATAGAGGCCCTGGTATGTAGACGGGGGTGATTTTTAAATTTAGTAGACATAATATGCCAGTTATTTTTGGCTGCCATGATAGTTTGGTAATTGCTCTTTAGGGAATTGGTAGTAATCTCAGTGCAGTGCATTGGAAAGGGGCAAAGAAGCAACAAATTCTGCTTCCAGCTGGAGATAGCCCAGTGTTCTACACCACGAGGGAATGAGCCACTATGCTGCTTGGCTAAGAATTATTGTCTGGTAAAGTTCAAAGCTAGGAAATCTAAAACCACCTGCTTTGACAGGGAGCTGTAATCTATGTAGGAGATCTGGGTTTGTTACCAACATCCCACAAGAAGGACCTGACCATGGTGTTGATTTTGGTAAAATAAAAGGGAGGAATATGGAATTCAGAATAAAAAGTATCTTGGGAAGAACATTCATTTTGATTGGGGAAAAATAAACAAAGTGAGAGAGAGCGCCTGCCATCTATTTAAACTGTTTGTTAACTGCATGATTAATGGGGCTAGATTAGCCTTGGCTGTGCTTTTAATTTCCTTAAGGAACAGGTACCAAGATATCTGAGGTTTGTCTGTTGCCATCTAAGGCTTTGTGTACACTGGACTTTTGTCAGTAAAACTGTTGTCATTCAGACAACACCCCTGAACAACAAAAGTTTTACCAACAAAAAGTGCCGGTGTGAACAGCGCTTTGTTGGCGGAAATGCTCTCCTGCCAACAAAGCTGATGCTGCTCGTTGGGGGTGGAAGTTTTTTGTTGGTGGCAGAGCTCTCTTCTACCGACAAACAGCGGGCGGCTACACTGCACACCTTTTAGCGGCACGGCTGTAGCAGCACAGTTGTGTCGCTAAAAGGTGCATAGTGTAGACATAGCCTAAATGTAACTAGATCCAGTGAGATCTTCATTGCTTCTGACTTATCCCAATTTATCTTGTAGCCAGAGAATTTACCAAAATTATCTATTGTTTGTGGGATATTTGGAAGAAACTTGTTTTGAATGGTTGTTCCTTTGCAGTTCCCAAATTCCATTTGATTGCTTTGGCCAGATTGGGGGGAGGGAGGCGAGAGAGATAGAGGCCTCTTTCTTTAATTAAAAAGTATCAGTGGCACCTCAGGACTGCTTCTTTGTGCCATTTTTTTCCTTCATGTACATACAAATATAACTTGGTTGCTACAAGTTGCATCTGCACACTTGGGTGAAGAGGATTACTGAGGAAAAAGTTACCATCAGTAGAAATGAGTCTAAAAGTAATGCTGTTCCTCTTTGCAACTCCTGTGTTAGTCTATAATATCCTGATGTTTACTGAAGCAATGCAGTGATACTCAGACCTCAGTGGCTCAGGAGCTAAATTAGTGATCAGTATTACCCAAAAGAGCCACAGTAGTGTGAATGCATTGTTGCATTTACTATAGTACTATATATTCATATTTAAACAGTATGACCAGGGAAATATTTAGTTATTATATAGATATAATTCTCATAGCAAAATGACTGACCAAGTATTATTTAATCAATTACAGTTGGTTAATAACATAGTAAAAGCACCCTTAATTAAATCACAGTCTTTTTAATATCCTGTGCGGCAAAAAGCCACAGGAGACACATTAAAGAGCCCCTAGTGGCTCTCGAGCCTCAGTCAGAGTATAAAATTGTCAATAGCATTATTAAAAAAAAAAGGGGATGGGTAAATGTTTATGGAAAAAGAGTGTTTTTCTTTCAAAATGTCTTCATTATTACTGTTCATAAAGCAGTTTCTATTCTGTAATCCTGCTATAAAAATCAGAAAAGAATTCTACTGAGTTTTAAAATATTTACTGCTTAAAGATAGAAAGTCAGTTTCACGTGACAAGTGGCTTCCCGCCTGTTAAAGTGCTGCTGCCAGCGGGTAGCTGTAGAAATGCCAATTTTAGTTACAAAGATTGAGCCAGGTTTTCAAAACCCACCGATGCCCATCTTGAACCCATGCGAAACACAACTTGCATGCACATAAGTGGACTTCTGAAAAATCTGACCAATTATTTTCAAATGCACCTTCACATCACTTGTATGTGATAAGAAATACTTCTTGTCATATGAAATTTCTAAATCTGTGCTGAGCATAATGGGATTAACTGTCTTTAAGGGTTCACTTATTAAATATACAGTCAGCTGCAGTGTGGGTATTGTGGCTACGCAACACAAACCAGTCTAAACCTATTTATACTTAGTATCTGTAAAGTCAGCAGCTTAAGGAATTAGTTTTATAATGATCAGGACCTTCAGGATAAGGGGGTAGTGCTTATTTAACTAACTGATCCATTCTAGAAAAGGGTATTGAGAGTCAGGATTCCTAGCTGTGCTACTGACTTGTATGGCCTTCAGCAAATCATTTAATTTCTCTGTGCCCTAGTTTACCATCGGGATAGTGGGTATGATGATATCTCTGTATCTCGCATTGGTGCTGTGAAACTTAATTCAAATTTGAAGTATTTTGAGATCCTTGGATAAAAGGTGCTATAGATGTACAACTTATTTACAATGTGCCTGGTTCATCATGATAGTATTCCAGCTTTACGTTGGGGTAATTCCACTGCAGTCCATTGAATGGAGTTACGTCAGCATAAACTGTAGAATCACTGTGGTGATTCAGGTGCAGCGTATATGTTAATATAGAGTGGATAAAGCAATCTGGGGGAGGGAGATACTTATGGTTGGTTATGAAATGCATTAGGGTGGGGTGTACCTGATATCCTTGAACATATTCATTTCTGCACTGACGTTTTTAATATGAAAAAGCTGTAATTATCTTTAATATATAGTATTAGCTTAATTATTGTATTTTTATGCACACCTGTTTTTACAGCAACTTGTCAAAGATCAAGAGACAGTGACACAGGAAGTAAAAGGAGAGATAGATGCCAGTCGAAGAAGGGCTGATCTTGAAGAACATCTAGTTCAGAGGTTGATAGAAATTGATCGGGATGAGGACCATAAAGCACAGATGGTAAGAAAATGGATTTAACTTGTATATTTGGAAGGAATTCCTCTTCCTGCAAACAAACATGAAAATCTTTCAAAGAAAAGGAATCCTAATTTTTCCTGACAACTATACTTACTATATTTTGACCTTATGCAAAGAATCCCACTTTAAGTGCTGTTCAGACAGCTGGAGTATATTGAAGTCCTGCTAGGCATGGCTTGAGTGAAAGCCCTCCTTTGTCTTCCCAGAGACTGGAAGACATATGAGAATTAGCATGACCCTTCCAGTAGATACTGCTGGTTCCCAGTTTATCTTTCTGTCAAGAATGTTGGATCTCATGGCAACAAATATCTGGGTTTTGGTTCTTTGTGGTCACAAGTGATGCTCTCTAAAGACTTGGTGGGAATCAGCAGGCAATTTAACTATAGGCTAGGGGTGGCCAACCGGTGGCTCTGGAGCCACATGCAGCTCTTCAGAAGTTAATATGTGGTTCCTTGTGTAAGCACCGACTCCGGGGCTGGAGCTACAGGTGCCAACTTTCCAATGTGCTGGGGGTGCTCACTGCTCAACCCCTAGCTCTGCCACAGGCCCTGCCCGCACTCCACCCTCTTCCCGCCCCCTCCCCTGAGCCTGACGTGCCCTCGCTCCTCCCCCTCGCGTCCTCCCAGTGCCTCCTGCATGCCACGAAACAGCTGATCGGGAGGTGCGGGGAAAGAGGGAGAGGCGCTGGGGGGCGGGGGAAGCTGATGTGGGGGGGCTACTGACGTATTACTATGGCTCTTTGGCAATGTACATTGCTAAATTCTGGCTCCTTCTCAGGCTCAGGTTGGCCACCCCTGCTATAGACATTAACTTCCAAATTACAGTACTCAATAGATGCATCCAGCTTGGCATTACGAGCTTGTTTGGGTTTCCAAGCTCAGAACTCTTAGCAGCACAGTTGAAAGACAGTTGAAGCTTACCCACTGTCCCACTGCTTAGCAACTGTCTCCATAGTTTGTCCAGAAATAATCATATACATCTAGTTTTTTTTAATCTGCCTTCAATTTTGTGGGTGCAGTTAACTGTGGGTAGAAATGGTAGTATTTAGGTATCTGATTTAATTGTAGTTGCAAATCAAGTAAATATTTAAATGTTAGCAAAATGGCACCCCTAAAATATTAGAGGTTCAGTTAAGCCTTCTTTAAAATAAGCCCCATGTATAAATAAGAAGATAGCAGAGGTGAGAGATAAGCAAAGGGAGAGACTTGTAAAGAAAGAATTTGGAAAGAGCTCTACTGCAGCGATAATTCTCTGGCACCTATTGCTGGTAGAGATCTTTAACAATGGCAGTGAAATAAATTTAAGTTTGAACGAAGAACGTTGTTCTTTATCTGTATTCGGATAGTGTGCTAAAGTTAAAGTAAGTGTATTTGGCTGATCACTTTTTCTTAGCTGGCTGAAGAAAGTTTAGCAAAAGCTGATCAGAAGTGCATCGACACAGACTGGAGAATCCAAGCCTTGTATAAACAAAGATGTGATGATCTGGACCGCGAGGCACATTATGAAGAGATAGCTAAACTTCTTCATGACAACAGAGTAAAAGAAGCAGAGTTGCTGAAAGCAATGAAGGAAGAGGAGGATAAAAGGGTAAGCATCTCTTTGCATTTTTGGAGAGACAATGTGCAAAAGAGAAAAAGTGTGTGGCTGTGGCATGGTGCAGAATGAAAAGTCAAACGGTTTTTACCAAAAAAATGTCCCCCCAAATTTGTTTTTACCCTAATGTCTTTTCCCTGATTTTGCTGATCAACTAACAGTGTATAGCTAGACTCAACGTTTTTCCTAGTCTAGACCCAGAATAATATCTTTTACCTCCCTTTAGCTGCTTCAAGAGGACCCTGGTGGGCATCAGCAAAAGCTCTTCTCAAAAGTAGAAAACATTAACTCAGTGTCTTACAGCACTTTTTTGTGTTAATTAATGATGGTATGTAATTTTAAATCATTCAAATGGCTTTCTGTGAAGCTTGCTTTTTGCACATTGCACTTGTATTGAAAATGTACTGAAATGAGTCTGTTGTATAGTGGGAAGAAGTTACAGAGAAACGAGCTCAACTGGAAGCAGAGCAGCTAGCTGTTGCTGCGTTGGACGCACGGAGGAAGCAGTTCTTAGATGATGAAATGAACGACGCAATAGAACTGGCTGAAAAGCTACAAAGTGAAGATGGCTATTTTGGTGAGCATACAATCTAGTACTTCCATCTACAGTGTACATGACATGGATATTACAATAACTCATCTATGTAAATATTTTTACCAGTATCATAAAAATGTAGGACTGGAAGGGACCTTGATAGGTCAGCTAGTCCAGTCCCCTGCATTGAGGCAGGACTAAGTATTATCTAGACCATCCTTCCAATGATGGAGATCCCACAACCTCCCTTGGGTAATTTGTCCCAGTGCTTAACTACCCTTATAGTTAGGAAGTTTCTCCTAATGTCCAACCTAAATCTCCTTTGCTGGAATTTAAGCCCATTACTTGTTGTCCTGTCCTCTGTGATGAGCAGAACAATTTATCCTCCTCCTCCTCCTCTATATAACAACCTTTTATGTACTTGAAGACTGTTATCATCTCCCCCCTCAGTCTTCTCCAGATTAAAAAAAACCCAATTGTTTCAATCTTTCCTTGTAGGTCATGTTTTCTAGACCTTTAATTGTTTTTGCTACTCTCCTCTGGACTTTCTCCAGTTTGTCCACATCTTTCCCGAAGTGTGGTGCCCATAACTGGACACAGCACTCCAGTTGAGGCCTTATCAGTACTGAGTAAAATGGAGGAATTTCTTCTCATGTCTTGCTTACAACACTCCTAATATATCCCAGAATGATATCCACTCTTTTTGCAACAGTATTACATTGTTGACTCATATTTAGCTTGTGATCAACTGTAACTCCCAGATCCTTTTCTCCAGTACTCCTTCTTAGGCAGTCATTTCCCATTTTGTATTTGTGCAGATGATTATTCCTTGCTAAGTGTAGTGCTCTGTATTTGTCCTTATTGAATTTCATCCTGTTTATTTCAGACCATTTCACCAGTTTGTCAAGATCATTTTGAATTCTAGTACATGCCAGATATCCATCCATAAGTCTGACAAATACGGCCAAACTTTTAAAAGAACCTCTATTTGGTCTCTTTCATCGATTGCAAACACAAATAACATTTATAAGCTTCTAAATGTATGTACATACACCTAACTACATACACTTCTGTATGTAGTTAAGAATCTAAATTTTGCAATGGGCACCCACAATTGATTTCCACCCACAAAAGTGAAGACCATTAAAAAATATATCAACCCCTACTTTATATTGTTTTAAAATGTTCATTGGATTTGTAAATAAACTGAATGAGAAGGGGTAGTGTTCTTTAAATTTTCATTGAACCAGAAGCTTTAAATTAACTACTAATCATCTACTGTACTGGGAGATGGTGACAGTGGTGGTTTCCCACGATATAACAAAATATTTTACATAAATATACAATAAGTTTCTCTGCAGATTTTACTTCTTCCATTCCAGCACCAGGTTGTTTTCAGACAGAAGAACCAGCACTGTTCCCGTCTCACACCATTAATACAGTTCCAGTTTAATTCTTGACTTTGCCATCTCCTCTAACTGCTCATTGCGAGTGGACAGGGACAGATCTTACTGCATATAGAGTGCAGACTTTGTAGTATAGTCTGTATGTAGTTAGAGAATACAAAACATAATACCAAATTGCTCATTTTGCATTTGTTCCTATCGCCACTGTGGTGTGTGTGTACAAATGTCTTTCCTTTGCCACTGGGATTTTGTAAACTCCTAGAAATTGGAGTTGGAAAATATCTGTTAAATCATCTAATCCTAAATCAGGGGTTCCCAAACTTGTTTCGCGGCTTGTTCAGAGTAAGCCCCTGGCAGGCCGTGAGATGCTTTGTTTACCTGAGCGTCCGCAGGTACGGCCGCTCGCAGCTCCCAGTGCAGCAGTTCACCGTTCCTGGCCAATGGGAGCTACGGGAAATGGCGTGGGCCCCACCGCTTCCTGCAGGTCCCATTGGCCGGGAACAGCAAACCGTGGCCACTCAGAGCTGCGAGCGGCCATACCTGCGGACGCTCATGGAAAAAAAGCGTCTCACGGCCCGCCAGGGGCTTACCCTGAACAAGCCGCGAACTAAGTTTGGGAACCCCTGTAAATCAAAGCAGAACTGTTCCCTATGGTGTATTTACACATCCAACTCTTTGCTCAGCAAGATGAAGCTGAAAAGCTTAAAAAAAAAACTGTACTATGCCTTAGAGGTGCTCTAAAATTAAGTGGTATGATAGAGCACTGTTTAAATAAATATCTCCAGAAATTTTTGTAAAAAGTTTTTTCTTCCTCTGCTGTTTAAAAAACTCTTGAGAGAGAAACACCAACAAAATGATCAGGCCCCACCCCTTATTACCACACACACACCCTTGCACAAAGTTTGTCCAACTGAGGTCACAAGGGTGGCTTGCTGGAAGTGCGTAATTCACATAATGTGAACGAAATTTCAGTTGTCTTAGTCTTCTTACTCAAGGTGCCACCCACTAAGACTACAAGTCCCAGTATGCAATATTCTACCTGTATCTTAATGGCCCATTTGTCATTAGCTGAGTCACTCATATTTTAAAAAATATTGCATTGTGGGACCTACAGTTTCTGAAAATCACAATTTAGTAGAAATGCGTGGTCTTGGCCCCACAGACGGACATTTTTTGTTATAAATTTTCCAATCCCTACTTAATTGGAGCTGCCTGCACACTAAATCTAAGTCCATGTCTTCACAGTGAGTTACTACATGGCAAGCCAGGTGCAAATCTACAGCGTGCCACCTTGCCATGCAGCAATATCCCATGCAAACACTGCTACAGCCCAGTGAAAGTCCCAGAGTGCAGTTTAGCATACCATGCTTCACACCAGGACTCTTGCTGCACTGTTGCAGTGTTCACATGGGACATTACAGAGTGCCACCTTGCTACACAGTAGATTTGCACCCTAGCTTGCCATGCAGTAATTCAATGTGAAGACATAGTCTTAGATTTAGTGTGCAGGCAGCTCCAATTAAGTAGGGACTGGAAAATGTGGCTTGTAATAAACATTAGCTATTAAATTCTTACAGTTTACAAAGAAACTTCTCTCCATTTCCCACAGAGAGATTGCGTGATTTAAAGACTGGGTGTGTACAGCAAGATTTAAAATTCCAGCAGGTGCTGAGGGAAGCCCAACCCAAGTCAGGATATGTCTGTCTAAATGATTTATCTACAGCAGAGTCCTCAGCACACTGTAAGTTGCTAAACTTTGGAATAGTCTTTCTCTCTCTTCTAATTTTGGAAGTATTACCCGGGCACCAAGTTTGGGGAATCAGTCTTTGGTAAATGTGCAGATTGATTTTTAATTGATTTCACACCTGAAAAATCCCTTTAAAAACCAGTAATTGTGAAGGCAGTAGGCAACTCAACTCTGCCGGATTATGAGAGATGCCTCTCGTGTTAGACCCAACTGTATCTTCATCCCATATTTGTATAGAAGTTGCATTTGTATCTATGGCTTAAACACCGTTACATAGCCCTCTGTGGCTTTTCGGAGTGGAGAAAATGTAGAATTACCTGTCATTCAAATCATCTGGAGAGGACTCATTTGTTGTGGCCAATAATTATCTAATCTAATTATCTCTAATTATCTCTTCTGGGCTGTCTCTGCTTCTACAGCCAATGAAAATGCTTGTTAAAAGCTATTCTTTAGTTGTACATCTTATTGGTGAAATCCTCCTGCACCACAGGAAACCTTAATACCTTTGAAACTTTAATAGCACTTTAGCTTCTCCATTTGCCACAAAGTACAGTACAGTAATGATACATTTTGCAAAGGACCTAAAAGAACCCCTAGGAAGTAGGAGTTGTTCTCCACTTGCAGTATTTAGAGCTATCTCCTGAGTAATCAAGGGACTGAATGAAGGAATAAATGTGCAGTAATTGTCTTGTTATATATTTAAGACATAGCCCTGCAGTATTATTCTCCAATAAGAAATAACTTTGTACTACTTTAGTCATGAAAAAACTGAATCCCATACAGGTCAGACTAGATTGGGGTGGGCAAACTACGGCTCTCAGCCCAGATCTGGCTCGTCAGGGCTTTGGATCCGGTGTGTGGGATTGCCAGCCCCGTGGTGCCGCAGGCCCTGCGCTGCTCCTGGAAGCGGCCGGCACCATGTCCCTGCAGCCCTTGGGGGTGGGGGGCAGAGGGCTCTGCACGCTGCCCTCGTCTGCAGGCACCGCCCCCTGCAGCTCCCATTGGCTAGGAATGCAGGCAAGGGCAGCGCGTGGAGCCTCCGGCCCCCCCACCCCCAGGGGCTGAAGGGATGTGGTGCTGGCCACTTCAGGGAGCGGCATGGAGCCAGGGCAGGCTGGCAGCCTGCCTGAGCCCCGCTGCACGCCACTGCCACCCTGGAGCCGCTCCAGATCCTTTATGAAGGATCCAATTTCATTGCAACAGAAGACTGACAGTTCTGTAAGATTTCCTGTGAGAGTCTGCATATTACACTGATGCAATAAAGATTCTTTGGAAACCAGGCTCCATGATAAATTATAAATAATAATACTAGAGCAACTGTCCACTTCAAAGCACTTTTACAAACAATCCTCAAAGGACTCCAATAAAGTAGGTACACCGCTACCTCGATATAACGTGACCCGATATAACACGAATTTGGATATAACGTGGTAAAGCAGTGCTCCGGGGGGGCGGGGCTGCGCACTCCGGTGGATCAAAGCAAGTTCAATATAACACGGTTTCACCTATAACGCGGTAAGATTTTTTGGCTCCTGAGGACAGCGTTATATCGAGGTAGAGGTGTATTATTCACTCTTTATAAATGAGGAGACTGAGGCAGAGGTGTTAAGCAATTTATCACAGAGTGAGTATGTGTCAGAGACAAGATTAGAACTCAGGAGTTCATCACACAGTTACAAAGAATTTAAAAATAAAGTATGGCCAAACCACACTTAAATAACAACTCATCTGAGCATCCAAAGAAGCTTTACAAACATTAAAATCAATCCTCAACATCGTTATTAAGTAGGTATGAATTTTTACAGTAGAGCTTTACTAATGTGTACTCCTTATTGGTAGAACACTGGAAATGACTGAATTTTACCAGCTAGTAAGTGAGCAAACAAAAAAGCACATCACAAAATGTATTTTGGTAATTTGACGCATGTTTGGTTTTAATTAGTAATACTTCACATTATAGTAATTTATATAAATTACTAAGAAAATCTTAATATTTAGCCTTTGCACTGCACTTTACTATAATATTTTTATACAATTTGGAAGCTGTAATCTGAAACCTCACTACAGCTTCCTACTATTAAAGCTTTGCTCAGTACACTTTTTATCATGTGAATTATGGGCATAGGTGCCAACTTCTGCTGGCACCAGTGGGTGCTCGACCCCCGCTCTGCCCCTGGCCTTGCCCTGACTCCACCCCTTCCCCGCCCCCATTCCAACCCCTTCCCCAAAGTCCCCACCCCAACTCCGCCCCCTCCCTGCCCCATTTCAACCCCTTCCCCAAATCCCCGCCCCGGCCCCGCCTCTTCCCCACCTCCTCCCCTGAGCATGTCACATTCCCGCTCCTCCCCCCTCCCTCCCAGAGCTTGTTATGCCACCAAACAGCTGTTTTGCGGCAGCAAGCACTGGGAGGAGGAGTGGGGACGCGGCACACTCAGGAGAGGAGGCGGAGGTGAGATGGGGCGGGGGGGCGGAGTGGGGAGGGGAGCTTGGCTGCACCCCCAATTTTTCCCCATGGGTGCTCCAGCCCTGGAGCACCCACGGAGTCGGTGCCTATGATTATGGGGTATAGAGATCATCAGTACACTGGGAATTAAATACCCATCTTACAGCTGCGCCCTATGTGCAAGAGAATAAGCATTTGTGGATGAGGGGTAGGTTTTAATTTACTGAAGGTCAACAAAGCAAATCTCTGCCAGAGCCCAGAGATATCAGGGCTGCTAGACCACTGCTCTAACTACCAGAATACTCTATAAGCGATTTGACATAATTCCATTCAAGAAAAACAAACAGGATTCTGGAAATACAGTCAAAATGTTTAAGACAAATATTCTGTGGCAGAAAAGTTAAATGAAAGACTTGGGCTGGGCACACTTTTGGGCTTGGCAGGACAATATTTATGGACCAGTTCTATTTGTGCTACAACTAGCTAATTTCATATGTTCTCAGATTAGGTCATCTTTAGCTCTCCTTCCTCCAATCGGTGTAGTCAGTATCAGTCCTTGTTTCAGTTAATTGTTTTCTGTCTCTCACTGGTATGAATGAATGGCACTTATGATATGATCAAGTATAACTCACTTCATGTGTCATCCTAAACATAGAAATTAACCACTATTCTGTCTAGAAAGATTAATGACAACCCTGCAACCAGCTGTTGGGTGATCAAAGCATACTGTATTGCTGCTGTTTAAGAAGACAGTGAAACACTGTTTCCATAAATACTATAACCAGAAGCAATGAAACTGTAGAGCAGTCTGTATAAAACACAGTATGCTTTCTAATATGCATTTTACAAGCTTCCATGAAAAAAATAAATTGACAAAAAGAATTCATAAAACTCCTATTCCGGCTATAATTCAAATACTTATAATGTGCTTTTGGCATCCCGCATTTGTATAAGTCATTGTCAGCCTTAAACATGAATTTCACAACTTTCCATCCATTTCCTCGCTGATTGTTCTATTACAACGACCCTCCACCATATTAACTTTGTCAAGGTTATCTGCATCTCCACACCTGTGACCAAAGTACATTAGCTTGCATCTATTGATTTCTGACATCAGGGTCTACTTCTCGCCAATAATTTGTGCCATAATCCCTATACTATGTTATATTTTAATACAATACTAATACAGCAGTTAATCTACTGATGTTAAACTGCATTGATACTTGTTACCACACAAGTGGCATTAACAAACCTTGTCAAGAATTTTATCATCACCACCATTGGAAGCCAACTGCCCTCCGCCCTACATTTTCACACACAGGTATTGTTTATGGCAGCATAAAACACTTACTGAAATGTTGATTGTATGTCCCTACTGTCTCTCAGAATAATATCCTTTAAATCACTGCTCTGCAGATTTATTTTGAAAGCAGAACCACCAGTTCAGGAAGATGAAACCAATCAATCCCCTCAGTCGTCATTTTTTTCTTTAAAATGTATGCTCAATTAGCTTTCACTTAAAACAGATTGTTCGGTATTTCCTTTTTCTTACATGTTTTGATAAGCAGTGAAATAGTTAACAGTGATGTCATTTACAGTATTATCATTGGCACCTGATTTAACACCCACTGAAATGAATGGGATGGTTCACATATCAGAGCTGTTTGAGGCTCTTTCCAAACTCACTCAGACATTGCTGCACAGGTTACACTGAGGGCATGTTTTCAAGGTTCTCTTTGCAACCATAACAGCTAGAAACTTGCATGAGAATGTAATAGAAAATGAGAAAAGGAGGGAAAAGAAGAGATTCTGTAAAATAACTGAGTTGCCTGTCTACCCCACTTTTTGGCTAGTTCTTTACATCCCTTAGGGAAAACCAACACCAGGAAACACGGTTAAGTATAAAAAAGTCACTTGTTTTTTCAGGTCATATATTAGTAATTGTAAACCTATTTTCACACACATTTTTACAAATAGCATGTATTTCATATATGCATATACTAAACATGAACAAGAAAACACATTGTGAAATCCAGTTAAGACAGACTGGATATCTTTTTTTCCTTTTTTTCCTCTCTTTCTCTCTCTCTATCAAATGAACACTACTCAACCAGTCACCAAAGTCAACCCTAATTCCTTTTGTTTGATGATAATGTTCTTGTGGAATTAATCTTTATTTCCTACGACTTGTAGATTCAAATTTAGCATAATTTCCCCTTTTGAAAATGGTATGTGTTAACAATGGTTAACATTTTGTTTTTCCCTCTATCATTTATGCATCACGGACCTTAAAATCTAATCTCCCCCCTGAAATCTAGTCTCAGCTGTGAAATCTGGCTAGTGTCGGGGAGAAGCAGGGCTGGGGGCTCATCTTGTGCTAGTCTCTAGATCAGGGGTGGGTAAATTACGACCCACAGGCCGGATCTGGCCTGTCAGGGCTTTGGATTCGGCCCGCGGGATTGCCACCCGTGACGCCGCGGGCCCCGCGCCACTCCCAGAAGCAGCTGGCACCACGTCCCTGGAGCCCCTGCGGGAGGGGAGGCAGAGGGCTCCGCACACTTCCCTCACCTGCGGTACCTCCCCCAAAGCTCCCGTTGGCCACGATTCCAGTGGTCAATGGGAGCTGCGGGGGGTGGTGCCTGCAGGCGAGGACAGCATGCGGAGCCCTTTGCCCCTCTCCCCTCCCCCCCCCCAGGGCTGCAGGAACGTCTTGCGGTGCCAGGACAGGCAGCCTGAGCCCTGCTGCGTACCGCTGCCAACCCGGAGCCCAACCTGAACCCCTCCTGCACCCCGCACCCCAACCCCCTGCCCTGAGCTCCCTGCCTGCACCCCAACCCCTTGCTGCACCTTGCACCCCTCCTGCACCCTAACTCCCTGCCTGCACCCCAACCCCTTGCTGCACCTCGCACCCCTCCTGCACCCTAACCCCTTGCCCTGAGCCGCACTCCGCACCCCTCCCTGCACCCCTGCCCTCGAGCCGCACTCCCACACTCCGCACCCCTCCCTGCACCCCTGCCCTGAGCCGCACTCCCACACTCCGCACCCCCTCCTGCACCCCAACCCCCTGCCTTGAGCCGCCTCCCACACTCCGCACTCCCTCCCACATCCCAACCCCCTGCCCCAGCCCTACATTCAGGGCCCTGCATGCAATTTCCCTACCCAGATGTGGTCCTTGGGCCAAAAAGTTTGCCCACCCCTGGACTAGATGATCATGATGGTCCCTTCTGACCTTAAAGTCTATGAGTCTGAATCTTTTTAGTGGTTCGTTGCAATATTAATTCTGAGCCTTTTTCATTTCTAGTTTCTTTAGATAGAAGACGAGAAGACCTGGAATGCAGAGAACGGGAACTGATGGCAGAAGTCAGAGAGCTCAGGCAAAAACTTACTTCAAAGGCCCGAGCTACATATCCACTACCTCATTTTCCAGACACAAAGTGGACCGCTTAAGAAAGCACACTTCATACTTTAGCTATACCTTATTAATCACTGGAATTCTAAATAGTTATGTTGTGATCAAAGAGATTGATTTTTAGATTATTTATTATAAATACTTTTGGAAATAATACTTTTGTATATAAAAATAAAATACTAACTAGAAATGTTATAGTTGCTCACGTCTGTTTGTTCTGTCCATAATGATACTTCATTCTTGGTTTTTTTTTAAATAAACATTACTTTTTTTTATTGCTGTACTACTGAACAATCAATATTTGAGTACAAGGCATATTCTGATTACACCAATTCCCTGAAAAATCAAAGCACTGTTAAAATGATTTATTTGTCAGTAGTATTAATGGGAGTCTCTTTTGTGATCATTTTAATGTTTTCCATCTGTCTATTATCTGGTACAGTCAACCTGTGGAACTCATTGCTGGGAGAAGTTGTGAAGGCCAAAAGTATAACTGAGTTAAAAAAAGAATTAGGTAAATTCATGGTGAATCGGTCCATCAATGGCTATTAGCCAAGAAAGTCAGGGATGCAATCCTATGCTCTGGATGTCCCTAAGCCTCTCACTGACAGAAGCAGAGACTAGTCGACGGCTCACTCAATAGATTGCCCTGTTTTGTTCATTCCCTCTAAGCATCTGGTACCAGCCACTGTTGGAAGACAGGATACTGAGGTAGATGGACCATTGGTCTAATCCAGTATAGTAGTAGGGTTCGGACTTCACAGACAAATCTCCACAGGAGTCAAGAGAGGGAATTAAGATCCTTAATTGCAGAGGGTCAGTTAGCAGCTCAGACTTCCTTACAGGCAGTGATTGATATGTTGGATATTGTGAGATCAAGGGCAACAGCGATCACAATGATAGGCATCGTGGTTGCAATCCTCGGGGATCCTCAAAGACATGAACTACAGACAATCTCCCTTTTGAGGATTGTAATCTCTTCATCAGCAAGGCAGCTGCTGCATTACAAACTTTAAAGGATTCCTGAGCTGATGTCCCTGGGTGTATGCACACCACAAAGAAACAGGTTAAATAAGCCTATTCCAGATAGAAAAAGGCTGAAAGAGTCAATCTTCCATGCTACAGTTCATTGGAACCTCCTAGGAAGAAACAAACATTGCATAGAAAAAGATCTGCTGCTGCTGCTTCATCAGAAATGGTGCAGCAGATTCCTCCCTTGAGGTAGCCAGTTTGACAGTTTAGATGAGAGCTGCTTAAAACCATACCCAAAGGATTTGTAGCCCTTCCCTACTGAAATGGGAAACACTTATTTTATTGACAGGATGCTTAGGGAATGTCCCCTCAGATTGTTGGAGCCTGGAAATCATCCAGGTTGGATATTCAGTCCAGTTTCAGGCCCCCCTATTTCCCATTTACTCTCACTTCTCCTTTTCAGGGTTCCCTCTCACAAGAAATGACTATAACAGGAAATAGATGTGCAATCTGGGTACAATCTGGACTGCTGAACAGCTGTTTCCCCTCAATTCTCGAGCCTGGGGTGCCTTTTACACCGCTTTGCTGTGAGAGCAACCACTCCTGATCTGCTCTCACATAACCTCCAGCATGTAAATTGCTCCCAGCTATACTGTATGAGCGCTATGGCCAGCCACTCTTGAATTACACTGCAGAGCAACACCAGCAAATCCCCAGTCCCAGCCTTTCCCCCAGAAACGTGCGTCTGGTAGTGCCCAGCCCTCTCCTGGATAACACAAGCTCATATAAAGTCTGTCATTTTATTAATAGAAAATGATATGCACAAATCCTGTTATCTCAAACGGACTTTCCCAAACACTTCAATCCAAGCACACTGGTTTAGATTAAACAATAAAAAAAAACTTTATTAACTACAGAAAGATAGATGTCAAGTGGTTACAAGTAATGAGGAATAAAACTCAAAATTTAATTGTTTTCCTTCTTATTTCTTTGTAACCAATACCTAATTTAACAAGGTAAGGGAGTTCAAAGCAAAAGTTTCTCTCACCACATGTTTCAGCAGTATTACTGGCTGAATTCCTTTCCACCAAGATCCCTCCCTCAGGCCAAAGCTGTTTCTTTGTTCCTTAGCTGTTGTGGGTAAAGAGAAAGGGAGGAGTAACGGGGCATCTGTTTCCCATTCTAAAACCTTTTTCTCTTGAGAATCATCTCCAGCTAGGATTCAGGAGACAAAGTCTGTGGGGATGGGAACCTGGACCTGTTTCTTTGCCAATATGTAAATTTCTCACTCACCTGTTTTCCTGCCAAAAAATGGCTGCTAAAACAGATGATAGTCCATTTGATTTTGTTGACACCTGGCTGAGGTGTTGGCTAGCAATCAAGCTAGCGTGCTAAAAATAACTCGTCACATCAGCACCAGGATTGGGAGGGGTTGGCTGTCCAGAATATGTAGCCACCCATGACACTGGGCATGTTCACAGGGCAACTAGCCACCCTTGCCACCCTGGATGGACTCTATTTTGTAGCGCACAAGTTCAATCAGAGCTTGCATGGGTGACTCCTCGTGCAGGCAATCACACCCCCTGCTCAAAGTACAGGCATACTATACCTTTGATCCAAGGCACCAGAGTGCAGCTGCCGACAGACAACACACAGTGATGTCCTAAGTGAATAGGCAAAGAGAAACACTGTCCACCCCGTCAGGCAGCAATCTGCGTGTGGTGTTGGTGCATCTGTTACCAGCCTGACAGCTGTGCACCTACCAGACTACAGAACACTAACAAATCACCTGACAGGAAGTTTTTAGAAGCACACAAATGGACTATAAAAGCCTCCCATTCAGACAGTTTTTCAAAGGTGGGGTCAGCTTCACATGGTATTATTTGCTACAGAAATAAATCAAAATTGTCCCACCTTATGCTCCAGGGAGACCCAAGTCCAGGATCTCTCTGACACATTTGTCACTCCTCGACCTCCCGCCCAGGTTTGATGTATGCAAAACCAACCAGGAATTTGGTAGGAAGGGCCAAACAGCTATTTTTTTTCAGCATCAAATGCCTTTATTAATGCTGGGATCAGCTTTTTATTCTGTGTTGGTGGGCCTACAATAGTGGGATCCTGGTTCGTATGGTGCTACAGCAATACAAATAATAACACATACAGCCTTATAGTGTGCATAGCACTTTGCAGGCAAACCCCCCCCCCCCAAGACACCAGATGAAATCCTGATCCCAGTGACATCGAAGGCAAACCTAACCCTTATTTAAATGAAGCCAGGATTTCAACCATTGTCTCTGCCCCAAATGGCCTACTAATGTAAGGGGTTTTATTCTCCTGTCCCAGGCTTGGTCTCCCCTGCTCCCTGCCTTGCTCATCTGTTCCCTTGATTCCTACAGCTACCATCTAGCTCAGGGGTGGGCAAACTACAGCCTGGGGGCCGCATCTGGCCCTACAGACATTTTAATTGAGCCCTCACACTCCTGCTGCGAAGGGAGGGGGAGGTCCAGGGCTTGCCCCACTCGGTGCGGCTCCCAGCAGCAGCGGCATGTTCTCCCTCCAGTTCCTATGCGTATGGGCAGCCAGAGGGTGCCTCACACTGCCCTTGCCCCAAGCGCTGCCCCTGCAGCTCCCATTGGCCGGGAAATGTGGCCAATGGGAGCTGCAGGGGCAGCGCCTGTGGCCAGGGCAGCGCGCAGAGCCACCTGGCCGCGCCTCCACTTAGGAGCCCGATAGGAAACATGCCACTGCTTCTGGGAGCAGCTCGAGGTAAGTGCTGCCTGGAGCCTGCACCCCTGACCCCCTCCCACCTTCTGAACCCCTCGGTCCCAGCCCAGAACACCCTCCTGCACCCCCCAACCGCTCATCCCCAGCCCCACCCCAGAGCCCGCACCCCCAGCCAGAGTCCTAACCTGTCCCCCACACACTCCAACCCCCTGCCCTGGCCCGGAACCCTCTCCTGCACCCTGAGCTCCTCATTTCTGGCCCCAATCCCAGAGCCTGCACCCCCCAGCTGGAGCCCTCACCCCCTCCCACATCCCAACCCCCAATTTCATGAGCATTCATGGCCCACCATACAATTTCCATACCCAAATGTGGTCCTCAGGCCAGAAAGTTTGCCCACCCCTGATCTAGCTGCTGCTCCCCTCAGCCCAGTCAATATACTGCTGCTAAAAAACCCCACCTCCCCTGCCTCTTTGCTCATTGATGTCACTGACTTCACCACAGGCACTGCCTCTCCCCCCACACACACACTTTCTGCATGAAGGGCAGACTTCTCCTCAGCGAGGCCCTACCCAGCTCCACTGAACCCCCAACTGCCTCCTCACCACGCTGCTGTACCTGCCTGTCGCCTTCCGCATCTCTTCCATGTCCCCCACCCACTTCTGCATGGACCAGTCTCCAGCTTTCCATATGTCTTGTGACCCCACCCCACTCCTCCTCCTCCTCAAAGCTCGGGCCTCCTGGCAGTGCCCTCTGGGAGTTTACTGCACACAGACCCTGGCGTCAGGGCCGACCTTAGGGTGGGCGATCAGGGCCGTCACCCTGGGCACGCCAACTAAACATCAGGGGGCTAGGAGGCCAAACACGTTTTGCAAACACCCTAGGGCTAGCCCGGCCTGGTATGCTTTGGGCTTGGATGGTTGCAGCAGGGTCTGGCCTGGTTTGTAAGCTGCTGGGGACAGAGACTGGCAATGCCCCCCGCAGTGTCCCCCACTCTGGTACACATAGGCGTGCACACGGGGGTGTGCCGGGTGTGCCCAGGCACACCCTAATGCAGGCGTGGGCAAATGGCCATCCTCTCCCGGCGCAGCAAGCTGCAGGGTCTGCGCTCCCAGGCCGGAGCGCCCGGCCGAGCGCAGCAAGCTGCTAGCCCCTCCCCTGCCTTCCCCCCTCCCCTGGAGCCATGCTGCCGCGTGCGCAGTGCTCTGGGGGCCAGGGCTGCATGCGCTCCCGTGGGGCAGCGTTTGGCTTCGCGGGGAGGCAGACACGCTCCCCGCTCACCTGGAGTCATGCTGCCATGCACGCAGGACTCTGGGGGACGGGGCTCCGCGGGGAGGCAGACATGCTCCCCCGTCCCCTGGAGCCATGCCACTGCGCGTGCAGCGCTCTGGGGGCCGGGGCTGTGCACTCCCATGGGGCAGTGTTTGGCTTCACGGGGAGGCTAGGAGCCTCATCTCATCATGGTAAGGGGTCCGGGGCTGGTTGGATAAGGGGTGGGGGCAGTCAGGGGATAGGGAGCAGGGTGGGTTGGATAGGGGGTGGGATCCCGGGGGGGTTAGGGGTGGGGGTTCTCTGGAGAGGGCAGTCAGG